CAGGATCCCTCCTCCGGCGTGGTTTTTTCGTCTCACGAGCAAAAAGACCAGGCTACTTTCCTCTGCCATGGTTTCACGTGCATGCGAAGAATCTATGCGCTGGTCTTGACAGGTTCCAGAAGCCGAGAGCAAGGCTGCCACGGAGCCGGTTCAGGCGTTGCTAGTGTTCCACAGAACATGTGTTGCCGTATGTCGATCGTGGTTTGTGGCCTTCGCTGCACAATCTGCAGGAGCCAGATCCGAAGTGCAAAGCTGTAGCCAAACGGCGTTCCCAGGCCAAGCTGCCGTTTTTGTTCAGACTCGGGTTTTGTAATTCCTGTTGCTGCTAGGTTGCGCCTGCGTCTGCGAAGCGGAAGGCTGCAAGGGAGCCGAAGCCGAGACTCACAGAGGCCGATGTCCTTTGTGAGCATTTCGTGAGCGCAGTTCGTTGAAGAGACAGCCTGTTGCTTGCAGGCTGTGTCTCCAAAGCGTCGCGAGCCGAAGCCGAGAGCGACCAAGGCTCATGTCCCCTGCGGGGGCGCGATTCTGGAGTGGTGCTTGTTCTAAGCTCGGCAAAAAAAGGGTTTTGATCTGCCCTTTTTCTTGCAGGCTGCGTCTCCAAAGCGGAAAGTTGCAGGGCCGAAGTCCAGAGCGACAGAGGCCGAGCTACGTTGCGGGAACCCGGCTTTGGAGCTCTAAACTCCTTCAAAAGACGACTCGCTGTTGCTTTCAGGCTGCGTCTGGAAAGCCTGCAAGCGAGCCGATGTCTAGCACGAGAGAGGCCGTTTTGGAGCAGTTCGTGCTCTAAACTCGTTCAAAAGACGCCTTCAGTCCTGTTGCTGCCAGGCTGCGTCTAGAAGGCGGAATGCAAGCGAGCCGAAGTCCAGCGTGAGAGAGGCCGTTTTTGGAGCATCTCGTGCTTTAAACTCGCTCAACAGAGGGCTCCCTTCAGTCCTGATGCTGCTAGGCTGTGTCTGCAAAGCCGAAGGTTGCAAACGAGCCAAAGCCGAGACAGGCCGATCACCGCTACTCTTGGAGCAGCTCACGTTGAAAAGAGGGCTCTCTCGAGCCTTGTTGCTGCCAGGCTGCATCTGCAAAGCGGCCTGCAAGCGAGTTGAAGCCCAGCGCGAGAGAGGCCGATGGAAGCCCCGCTTTTGAGCAGCTCGTGCGCTAAACTCGTTCAAAAGGGGGTTCCCTTCAGACCTGTTGCTGCCAGGCTGCGTCTCGAAAGCGGGCTGCATGCGAGCCGAACCCCAGTGCGACAGAGGCTGGGGTCCGCTGCAGCTCTAAACTCGTTCAAAAGAGCGCTCCCATCAGTCCTGTTGCAGCCAGGCTCCGTCTGGAAAGCGGAAAGCTGCAGGGGAGCCGAAGCCGAAACCCAGAGCGACAGAGGCCGAGCTTCGTTGTGGGAGCCCGGTTTTGGAGCAGCTCGTGCTTTCAGCTCGTCGAAAAGAGGGCTCTGCTTGCAGGCTGAGTCTGCAAAGAGGAATGTTGGAAAGGAACCAAAGCCGAGACAGGCCGCTGCGGGAACCCGGTTTATGAGCAGCTCATGCTCAAAACTCGTTGAAAATATTGGCAGTGAGTCAAAAACTTCTGGTATGTAACAGGGCCGGGGCGCCCCTCGCGCGACAGAGTATGTAACAAAAGCGGGTTTCTGCGACAAGGCTGGCGCGACAAGGTTGTATGTATGTGTACATGTGTATAGATTTATATTGTGTATATATTTAGGTATGTAGGTTCTGTGTCGTAGTGGCAGCAGCAGAAGTAGTAGCAGGCAGTCGAGTAGAGCACCAGCACCAGTTGCATTTGGGCAAAGGGGCATGGGCAAGTGGGAATGGGTGGGTTTGGGAGGGTTTCGGCGGGTTCGCTCGGTTTTGAGTGGGTTTGGTTATGCTCTTGGCAGATTTGGGTCATTTCAAAGTTTCGATTCTGCCTGCAGGGAAAGGCCCAAATGACGGCGATTGGAGTCTCTTGGGAACTCCTCATGGGGTAACCGCCTTTCCCAGAACTATTCTTCCATAGCCTAACGGGCAGGCTGAGGCCTTGCAGGGAAAAGGTCTCTGGTTCAATTCCCAGGGGTGTCATTTGGGACCTTTCCCCACCCAAAATCGAGATTTTGGGTGACCAAAAGCTCTGGGCACCCTGCGTCGAGAGTACTGCCAATTGAAGTACTGCACTTCTGGTCATTGCTGCACTACTGCCACTTAGTGCACTACTGCCAATTACCACACTACTGCCAATTGCTGCACTACTGCCAATTACCGCACTACTAGCCAATACTGCACTACTGCCAGGCTTTGTAACAGAGGGGGGGGGGCCCGCGACAACACGGGGTTTTGACCCACGGCCATATAGGGCTCTCCATTCTTGTTGCTGCCAGGCTGCATCTGCAAAGCGGGCTGCAAGCGAGTCGAAGCTCGGCGCGACACAGGCCGAGGTCCGTTGTGGAAGCCCCGTTTTGGAGCAGCTCGTGCTTTAAACTCGTTCAAAAGAGGGCTCGCTTCAGTGCTTGTGCTCGTTTTTGCTCGCAGGCTGCGTCTCGAAAGCCGAAAGCTGCAAGCGTCGAGAAGCCGACAGAGGCCGATGACGACTGCGGGAACCGGTTTTGGAGCAGCTCGCTTCAGTGTTTTTGCTCGCAGGCTGCGTCTCGAAAGCGGAAAGCAAGCGAGCCGAAGCCAAGAGCGAGAGAGGCCACGACCACCGACCACTGTGGGAACCCGGTTTTGGAGCAGCTCGTGCTCTAGACTCGTTCAAACAAGGGCTCCCTTGTTTTGCTGCCAGGCTGCAGCAAGCAAGCCGAAGCCCAGCGCGATAGAGGCCGGGGGTCTGGTGCCTGCGCAGCGCACAGCAGGAAGCGGCCTCCGTTGTGGGAGCCCGGTTTTCGGGCTTTTCACGCAAGAATGTCATCCGAAACAGGGCTCCCGCTGCCAGGTTGTTTCTTCCCAGAAGGAGCTTACACGGAAGCCCAAAGTCCCAGAGGCCATTATCAATTGTGGGATCCCGGAAATCGAGTTTTTTTAGCAAAACCCTTCCACAATACGGCTCTCGCTGCCAGGTTGCGTCTCCAAAGAAGGAGCCTGCGCGAAAGGCCAAAGTCGAAGAGGCTTCCGTTGTGGGAACCCGGTTTTCGGGTTTTGCACGCATGAAGCTCTTCCGAAATAGGGCTCCCGGAGCCTGCACAGAAGCCCGGAGCTGCAGGGAGGTCTGCACACTTTCGCACTTAATTGGTCCAAAATTGCAGGCTGCGAGAAAAGTCCGCCACAAGCTCTGGCGCGGAGCTCACTCCGCGGGCATGCTGCGGGCCACCGCAAAGCGGCCTCTCCTGAAAGCATTGCAGAAAGCCGAGCAATTGCGTGAGATGCTTAAAGCATTGCCGAAATCGCGCCGTGACCAGCACGACAAGCGCGATGCAAGACGATGGGTACAGAGAGGCTTCACGATCGGGGTCGCACGATTCGCAAGACTGGCGAAGGCGGGATAACTTCACCAGCGATTTCCGTGCCACTGATTTTGAACTTGATGTTATCCCGACTTCAGGATACACTGGCTGAGCTTCAGCGAAGCGAACAGGAGGACCAGGTGGGAATAGACTTAACCAGCGATTTCCACGCCACTCCTTTTGAATTTAAATGTTATCCTGGCTTCAGGATATCTTGCCTGAGCTTCAGCGAAGCGAACAGCTACCGGTGAGATTGACTGAGGAGTCGCTATGCGTGCTGCAGGCCTCCTTAGAAGACTGTCTTGCCAACTTTTTCAATGAGGGTCGCAGATGCATGCGACACGCTGACCGAAGCACTCTTTGGCCTGCCGACCTTCGCTTGGCAGCAGCCGTGCGATCTGATGATTTGTTACTTGCCGGATGGCGACCACGAGGTCCCGCGACACCGAAGGAGGCACGTAGGCTCCGTCACCCGTGACTTCCGCCGGAGTGAAGAAAGGGTCGACTGCATACGCTTCTATGTGTGTGAGTCTTGTCGTGTCTGAGTCTTGTCGTGATTCTTGCGCACACATCATGTCGCCGTAGGTGGGGTGCAAGCCTGTCGTGGCTAAGAAAAATCCTGTCAAGGTGTAAAAACCCCATGTTGAAGCGTGGTAAGTGCACCTCCTCTGGGATCATGGTTGGCCCATGGATGCTCTGCGGCAATGGATATGGTCTGATCTGGACATGATCATGGTTGGCCCATGGATTCTCTGCGGCAATGGATATGGTCTGATCTGGACGTGATCATGGTTGGCCCATGGATGCTCTGCGGCAATGGATATGGTCTGATCTGGACGTGATCATGGTTGGCCCATGGATGCTCTGCGGCAATGGATATGGTCTGATCTGGACGTGATCATGGTTGGCCCATGGATGCTCTGCGGCAATGGATATGGTCTGATCTGGACGTGATCATGGTTGGCCCATGGATGCTCTGCGGCAATGGATATGGTCTGATCTGGACGTGATCATGGTTGGCCCATGGATGCTCTGCGGCAATGGACATGGTCTGATCTGGACGTGATCATGGTTGGCCCATGGATGCTCTGCGGCAATGGATATGGTCTGATCTGGACTTCATTCGTTTCGAAGTCGCAGTAGACCATGGACGTCATTAGGCCTTGGACATGGATGCATTGTTTCGAAGTCGCAGTAGACCATGGACGTCATTAGGTCTTGGACATGGGTGCACTGTTATGGACACGCCGGAACCACCGGTATTTGTGGTGTTTTCGGCAGGTGAACCACGCAAAACACCGCAAATACCGATGTTTCAGGCGCCACTAGAAACGTGGAAAGCGGACACGCCGGAACCACCGCTGACAGTGGTGTTTTCGGCATGTGACCCACGCAAAACACGACAAATACCGGTGGAATCGGCACATGCGAAACGCGCGTTTACAGGTGGTCCGAGCCAACAACAACAACTACTACTACCACTACTACTACTACTACAACTACTACTACCACGGCTACTACGACGACGACTACTACTGCGAGTGCTTCTATTGCTGCCTGCTGCTGCTGTGATGCATCCCAGGCCGTGAGAAGCAGGGCCCCTGAGTTCCGCTCGAAGACGGACTCGCCGCGGTTTGGGGCAGTTAGAGGGTTAAAGTGTAGGTCGTAGGTGCTGCGTTGAAGCTTCACGGGTTGCGCCGGAGAGTTTCTAGATTCACAACGCCGATGAAGTCTTGTCGATACGCCTGAACCCTCACTTCGGTCCTGGGTGCAAGCCTTACACCGCATCCCATTGACCTCAACGCCCAACTCCAAACCCTTTCAAAGTTGAACCAGCACTTGCTAGTTGCTGTCATCCAGACGCTATCTCAAGTCTCGCAGGAACTGTTGTTCACGGCTGCGCCGACCAATCTAGTGCACGAGACAGCTGCATTGTGGCGTTACAGAGCAACACTGGCCAACTACAGCAGCCATAAGGAAGCAGCCATAAGGAAGCAGAGCTGTCGCCTGCTTATCGTTGCTGTCCTTGCGGGGCAGGAAGATCTCTGAGGGCGCAGCCCTGCCCCCTCTTCAAGGGCTGCAGACCAAACACCCAGCATCCTTGGAATGCCCTTGGAGATTCGTTTTCGATTATTGCGAAGTGGCCGAGCAGAGCACGTTCCTGCCCGATCATCGATGGTGAGTGAGTCCAGTGCGAAGCAGACACCATACCCTAAACCCCAAACCCTAAACCCTAAACCAAGCCGCTGTTCGGCATCCCATCAGATCCACGAAAGCCCAGGAGCGGTCATTCCGGTTAGCCCTATATAAATCCGAAGCCCTCAACCCTAAACTCTACCTTCAGTCCTCGAGCCAGGCTCTACCTGCAAGGTATTCTGACTGTAGCAGGGAGGAAAAGGGACCCGCAAACAAGAAGAAACTCTAGATCCAGCAGGAAGATGCCTCTCGCGCCATGTCACCCCGGGTTGGCATTGAAGACTCTGGGGACGCACTGCAAGAAGACTGTAACTCTAAATGCTAAGCCTCAAAACCCTAAAGCCCACACAGTCAAACTCTAAACACCACCCTCGAAGCCCGAAGCCCTGAAATCCTAAACCTTCAGACTCTCAACCCTTACGCGTGTAAACCCCCAAAATATTTGAATCCCAATAAGAGCCCCTGTCGTGGCTTGCAGTCCACTACCCTCACGAGAGGGAAACCAGCCCCTGTGGTTGCCCTAAAACCTGCAAGCTCTACGATCCAAAACCGAAACCTTAAGGCTCTAAGGACTCATATTTCAAGGCCTTTGGGCCTACAGACCATACTACATAAGGCTTTTGGGCCATTTTGAGCCCTAGGGAAATCCTGAACCCGAAAGCCCTTAAATCTCAAACCTTCAAACCCCCCAACCCGGAACGCGAAATCCTCAACTTCAAAAACAGTCCCACTCTACGAAGCCCGAGTCCCTATGCGCCTAGCCCGGAGGGGCCCGGAATCGGACCTTGAAACGCGTCGGAGAGCGAGGAGACGAAAAAGAGCCCATGAGTGGGGGATTGGGGCCTGAATGACTAGAGTATAGGGCTTAGGGTTTAGGGTTTTGGGTTTAGGCCTTCATGACTGTAGTGAGCCCCAGAAAGTTGGAACGTGGATTTAGGATGATTAGCGCTGGGATTCCTTATGCCTTATGCTTTACTTTGAGGGCATGAGGATAATGCTGTTCCAACTTCTTGGCTTCTACTTTAGTGGTCTCGGATGTAAAGGTGCGGGTTTGAAGGTTCAGGGAGTGAAGGGTTTCGGGGTTTAGGGGTTGCGGCGTAGTAGCCGCGTTACTGCAGTAAGTGTCAGTGTATGTACTACTGCTAGATCAGTGCTTCTTCAGGTTTCAATTTTCGTGTGCGCGAGTCACGTGATCGGGTGCACAGCCCCTAGCGACGTACATGTGTTCGTGCATGATCAAAGAGAGATGCAAGTACAGAACAACCAGAGCAGTAAGTAAAACCAGTGTGTAGTATGATATATGCATATACGTGGGTGTGTATACACACATGAACTCGGACTTGGAAAGAAGCATAGACATTCATCTTGACGAAGTACTTGCGGTATGCGCCACTGCAAATGAAGTTCAAGATGCAGATGAAATGGCGGATAGTTCGTGTGCTTGACGACGTGTCATGGTATCTGGTATCTTGCACCTAAGAAATCCCAAACTCTAAACTGCAGGCAATCTCCAGGCCTCAGAATTTCAGCAAGGGAAGCCTGGAGGACACGGCGCAGGTGGCATTTCCAACCTTGCCGGCGCTTCTTCTCAGGGCAGAGTTAGTAGGATCAGTTGCCCACCTTGCAAAATCAGAAACCGTGGGTTAAGGGGAATAGATGCAACCTCTTCCAGACATGTTTTTGTGGGGGAGCAGATCAAAGTTTTTAGACCAAGCCCTAGTGGGTTTTGGACTTGCTTAGCATGGTCGAACAGCTCCAGCCGATCTCGCTTGTGGCTGCTGGTCGGGGCACCCAGCAGTTGGCATCATGCCTTTCCAAAAAAAGCGCAGTTGTCTGGCCGTGTCGCTTCTTAGTGTCTTAGTGTCTTAGTGGATGAACTTCGTGGCCTTGGGGCCTTTGCAAGCGCCGAAAGACAATATATACTCGTGCCTCCAATGGTGTACGTATATATGTGTATATGTATTATATATATATATATACACATACACATATATACACATACACACACACACACATACACATACACTCACAAGACATGCATGGATGTACACACATCACCGGGACAAAAGTTTCGACATACGGAGGATATTCTCAGTATACCACGAAGATATGCCGGGGAGAAGCGGAGAGGCCGCAGGTTTGTTTTACATGGCCAGCTTGGCGGAGTAGTTAATTTCCTGGAGTAGATGTGTACTACGGTTGATGATAAAAAACCTGCATTACCCCCTCAATATACCATAATTCCCATAGTTTGGGGTCCTTAAGGTAATGCAGGATTTATATCATCACCCGTACTACGTAGTTCTCGGCGGAGAGCCTCAGGGATCTTGTGTGAGGCGTCTATGGGGGAAAGCGGGTGCCGCACGCGTGAAGTTACAGGTTGTTTGTCGAAGTCTTTTCCTTGCGGAAGCATATACACACGCCTCTGTGCGTGTGCTTGCGCAGGTTTTGTATATTTGTTTGCATACTTGCAAAACACCAAAACACCATTTCATGCATACACACGCACACACACACACAACACACACAACACACACAACACACACAACACACACAACACACACAACACACACACACACACACACACACACACACACACACACACACACACACACACACACACACACACACACACACACACACACACACACACACACACACACAACACACACAACACACACAACACACACAACACACACAACACACACAACACACACAACACACACAACACACACAACACACACACACAACACACACAACACACACAACACACACACACACACACACACACACACAACACACACAACACACACACACACACACAACACACAACACACACACACACACACACACACACACACACACACACACACACACACACACACACACACACACACACACACACACACACACACACACACACAACACACACAACACACACAACACACACAACACACACAACACACACAACACACACACACACACACACACACACACACAACACACACACACGCAACACACACAACACACACAACACACACAACACACACAACACACACACAACACACACAACACACACAACACACAACACACGCAACACACACAACACACACACAACACACACACAACATACACAACACACACAACACACACAACACACACACACAACACACACACACACACACACACACACACACACACACACACACACACACACACACACGCATGCATGTACACCTACACACTGCGGTATGTGTGGGCCGGCTTGGTTGCCCAGGTTCTTGTTGATGCCGAGCTGGCTTGGGGAAGCTCTAGGCAGGAGGGATTGCACCCAATTTTCACTGGCAGCAATGGTGACTGCGTTTCTGCCGGGGGGGGGGGGTGGCTGTCTTGGTTCCTAGCTTCTGCAACATCAACATCGATCCGGGCGAAGCTGCCCAGTGCTGCTCCGTTTAACATCGGATCAAAGCCCCAACCCTGAACCCAAGGCGTAGAGCCCCGAAGCCTTAAACGCCCTAGGCACCCTAAGCTCCTAAAGCCCCAAGGTCCCAAAACCCTAGCCCTAACCTCCCCGAGCCCCAAAACTCCGTGAGCCCTGGAGCCCCAAAGTAGAACCACCCTGAACCCTAAGCCCTAAACTCTCAACCCCCTGATCCCTAAACCCCCATAAACCCCTCAAGTCCCTAAGCCCTAACTAAACCCTCAACCCCCACGTAAACCCTAAACCCCCTCAACCCCTCTAGTCGGGCACAGGCCGGTCGTCGAGTCAGCGGCTCAGGGGATTTGCGAGGCTCTTTTTTGTCTTCGGCAGGTACCCTAAACCCTAAATCGTAAATCCTAAACCAAACCCTTAACGGAATCCCTTAACAGCATCCCTTAAGGGAATCCCGCCCCGCTTTGTGTTGGAGAAGCTGGCACCTACGCTTCGCTTGTTGACTTAGGAGTTTCTACATTCTACATGCTACATGCTACACCCGAAACCCAAAACCCAGATTCTGGGCTAAGCCCAAGCCCCCGAACCATGAAGCTTAAACCCTGGAACCTGAGCAAAGCTTCTGTGTCTGCAGGATGACTGGCGCACCTAAGCAAGACTCCCTGGCTGCAAGCTCGGAGCTCAGTGTGTTCAGCTTTCCGAAAGGAGACGCCTGTAGGCTTAGGGTTGCCTCGAGACTCAACTTTTCTGATTTCTGGCTCTAATTCTCTAATTCTAATATCCTTCAAGGTCCTACTTTGTTGAAGTCTATAAAATTCCAGGATTCCTTTTTTTTGGCGGTCTATCCTGAGGCCCTTCGATTTCCATTTAGGTAAGCTTCCGAGTCGTCTGAACAGATCTGGTGCTCCGAGGTCGGGATTCCTTGTTCGCCAGGCGCGAAGAGCCGTGCTGCCTCTAAGGTTTTTTTTATATGGGAGAAGATATCTGAAAGCAGGCCGTGATCCCGAAACAGAGCTTCTGGGGTCCCAGGGCCTAGGATTGAGGATTTACATGTGTTTGGGGCTTGGGGTAAAAAAGGCTTCAGTTGGGCTCCAAAAGGCTTCAGACCTTAATCCCCAAGCTCCCCGACCTTGCATTCTCTTGCCAGGCATCCAAGAACCCAGAGGACCGGGCTCACTTGGAGGATCATGGGACTTGGTAAGTAGGGTTCTAAGTACCTGCGTTTGGGCTACAAGTAAAAAGAAGTATAGTTGGCTTATTCAGAACCCTAGGGGTTATAAGAAATTACAAGTATAGTTACCTTATTCATAACCCTATAGCCTATAGTTGCAAAGTCCCTTGATCCTCTCAGCATGCCTTCTCAGCAAATCTCGGCGTCTCTTGCGGCCAGAGCCCTGAACCCTGAAGTCCTAAACTGGACAACGCCCTGAGCCTTAACGCCGAAACCCTGCCCTCGACCCTAAATCCTCAAACGCTGAGTCCTAAACCCTAAACCCCGAACCCTAAACCCTCAACCCGGAATCCTAAGCCTTAAACCCTAAACCCTACAGCCCTCAGCAGGACCATCGCAGGCTTAGTTTCCATAACGCCGGAGCCGGGAGCTTAAGAGCCAGGGAAGGGTTCTCCCGGCTTCAGATACTTCGAGGATCAGGGGACTTTGTAAGTACGGTCATTTGTGGCCTATTTGGGGTTATAAGTGTCTCGTTCTCGGCCAATGAGTAGGGCTCTCGGCTTTAGGGGTGCACGGAGGGGTTCCGGGTTTGGGGTTTGCATCGGAGGGCGTAGAAGTTGGGCTGTATATGTGTGTATGTGTGTGTGTGCGCGCGTGTGTATAGGTTTCCAAAATCCTTGTATGCATCGCGCTGCAAGCCCTGGCCCTGTGATGATAATGCCTACAAATCCTAAGCGCCTCGCCGAAACTGCTCCGCCGGAAGCAACCCAGGCGCATTGACACGAACGAATAAGAATGGGCGTTCGTCTGGCCGTGAACTGATGTGTCTTAGGCCAAGCTGCGGGCTGATGTTCTAAAGGCTCTTGCAATTGCGATGACGGCGGCACTACTGATGCTGGCAACAAAACGCTGCCTGTAACACGCCTAGCGCCGTCAACAGCCACGACTGCTGGTTGCAACCTTAGTTCCATCGTTGATTGTGTACCGTCTTGCATCCACCATCAGTACTATTCTATTCTGCAAAGACACGAATACATCTATTGCTGCTGTAATTCCTCAATCCTAAACCCTCAACCATATTGCCGCTCTCAGAAGCCCTAAACCCCAAACAAACCGGCAATCCTGAGCCTTGAAGGCCACCTTTGCCGGCTCTGCCTCTTCTTGAGCGGCTGCTTTCCTGCGAGAGGGGGGGGGGGCAGGGCTGAGGGGTTTCGAGATTTTTTTCGGAAGTTTTAGGGCACTTTGGGGGTTTAGGGTTTAGGGCACAGGCAAAACGGAGGCTGTTGAAGTAGTTTAGCCTTGGTGAACCAAAGGAAGGCATCGTTTTCTTCACCAGGGCTCTTTCTTCGCCAGGGCTCGGCCATGATGGTCACCGTGAAGGAACTGCAAATAGCAATGGCTCCGCATATTGGGCCTTCTCGCGGTTTGCCAAGGAAGATGATCTGTCCTCCAGAACCCTTCAAGCGGTCCGCCCCGGCGTGGGGGACCTACAGGGACTGAAGCCGCAGTGGTGTTCCTGTTACTTCCAGGGCGAGTGCAGTTTGTGGGCATGTTAAAGTGTAGTATAGTTTAATATAACATATTATAGTATAGTTGAACATAAGACACTATAGTATAGCCTTTACCCTATTGTAGTGTAGTTGAATATAACACACTATAGTATAGCTTTAATGTAGCACACGGCAGTAAAGGCTTAGTATAGTACAGTCTCAGCTTCTCGCCCGCCCAGGAATACCCAGGCAGCATACCTCCGCCGGGACGCACCGGCCTGGGATTTGTGCTTTGCCGCCGGTGATGTGGGAGTTTCCGAAAATGAGGGGTACCGTACTTTGGGGTCCTAAAAGTAGGGATCCTACTATTCAGGGTACTATATTAGGGTCCCCTATTTTCGGTAACTCCCATGTGTTGATAAAGAAGAGACTCCAATCAGCACGTGATGATGTCTGAGTGGTAGCTACCGGAACCTTGAACCCTAAACTCCCCGAAACCCCGCCAAAAACCCAAACCTTGAACCCTGAACCCTAAACCCTAAACCCAAAGCCCCTAAACCCCTAAACCACTACCTCAAGCTTCATGACGCCCCGCGGACTGCTTCGTTTCTGCACCCGAGGCTGTTCCATCTGAGGGTTCGCCGGAGGTTCCCTGCTGTGCAGACTGCACTCCTCAGCTCAGTTCGCCGGGGTTGGGAAATTTGGCCTGCTCAACCTGAAGCAAGATATGTAATCTATATACATATATATATATATATACACATCTTTGTTTGTATAGATGTATCATCTCAT